CCCCCCCCAAAAAAAAAAGAAAGAACAAGCCCAAAGCTACATTAGCAGCTCCTAATACCGAGCAGATCACAGTCACCAAGGCTGCGGTGTGACACCCAGGACCGGGAGCCGGGCACACATTTAACATGCAGCAAGCAAACCCAGGGAGAACAGCCGGCGGTTGTTGCTACGATTTCCAGCCTTAAGCTTTGAAAAAGTCATCTCCACCACCGCAACTACTGGCTCTGGCTGCGTTCCTGCAAGGAGACGGCAAGAGCCAAGCCTAAGCCCTTGTGCCACCTACCCACAGGTACCACACCCGGAGCACAAACACCGCCGCGGCGCTACGAGACCGTGACTCAGCCCAGAAGGACGATTTGCCTCGTTTCAGTTGCTCAGAGCAACATTATTTGTTCTCTTCCTCTAGTTATACAAGCTGCTCCGGAGCTCGCTGCTAACGGCGAGAGGGGGGCTCGACTGCGCCACGCGCCGCTCCGGACCAGCGCCCTCGTCCACATCCAGCCTGCACAGGATTATTTTCCCCCTCCCTCTCCCAGCTTTCTGACTCTTTAAGGATAGACAGAACAACAGCCGAGTGCCGAGTTCTTCCGCCACCCTCAAAGTTACACCTTTCAGTTGAGCTACTGCCACGTTAGAGGGAATTACGAGACCTCTCCGAGCTGGTCAGCCATTCCCAGCGCTGTCGCAGCTCCGCACAAATACCAGAGATGCCGCTATAAATACGTGGCGATGAGCTGACAGCCAACATGATTTCAGAGCCTCTTCCTCCGAGGAATACCCAGTGCTCCCAAGAGCCACGGAGTATCTGGCCAGGCCAGCTGTCCCCCGCCTGTGGCAGTCTCCACAATCAGCCCAGCAGAGCCGATTCGGTTGGCGTTAGGCGTCGTTCAGCAGCGGTGTTTCTGTCCTGTGGCTCTTACACTCCGCAGCCCGAGCTACCACCCCGACCTCTAAGTCTTGCTGCCACTAAAACTCTGCCTCACCGCTCTGTATTAACGCCAGGTCCACGGATCTAAACCAGCACTAAAAGGAGGGCGGCAACACAGCCCTGACACAGGGGAACAGCAGTTATGTAGGCTGCCAGGAACGCTACCGCCCGCCCTCCAGCACGGCTGCGGAGAACGAGGACAAGCTGCAAATAGGTTTTGAGAGGAGCACAAACGCCTGTGCTTTCCCGTTCTAAGTCTGAAGAACATCTGGAGGCGATCCCAGGGACGACGGCGCGGCGCAGCTCACCCCAGGCCCCAGCAGCCCGTACCCCACGAGCGGCACGCTGGCCGCGGTCCAGGCACGCTGCGCGGGGAGAGATGGAGCCCTTGAAGCAACGGTGCCACTCACAGCAGACTAGACCCGGGGACAGAGCTCCCCGCCAGAGTTCGGGGGGGTGTATCCATCTATAGCTCACGCCGGGGCCACACAACACCCCCCCCCACAGCTCCGCACCTGGAGCATCACTGGGGTTAGAGGGCAACACAAGGAGAGACTCCTCGGGCTGAAGGCAAATCCTTCACCGGGTTTAAGGCGCTGTTGGGGCTGATTCTAACTTCTAGTCATTTCAGAAAAAACTCATCTGGCATCAGCTTTAGGTGGGTTCCGCAGTCGCAGCGGCGGCCACCAAACCCTGCGACGGGCGGCACAGGGGATGTCACTTCCCCTGCGGAAGCCAGGACGTCGCACGGCGCCTTATCCGGAGAGAGGCATGGGGGGAGGGAATGGCACCCACTTCCCCACACCCGAGCAGGGTGATTTTTTGCCTTCCGCAAGGTGACGAAGTGAAAAGTCAAGAGGCAGAACTCGCGGGCGGAGTTCCACCCGAGCAGGAGCCGTCAGCAGTCTCGCTGCTCCGGCTGCGTTTGGATAAGGCTGATGCAGGCACCGAGTTCTCCCTCGTTTACTGTAAATCTCACAAGGGAGACGGGACTCTCCCGATCTCGCTGCCAGGAGAAAGCCAAGCGCATCCGCCTGTCGACGCCGCAGCGCCGAGAGCTGGAGCGCGGCTACTCGCACGCTTCTCCTCCCAGAAGCCTCGTGGTTCGGCTTCAGCACTCCCAGCACTTAGACAAACAACAGCCCGGCCGCCCTTTCGACTTTGCTCCAGGTGGAGCGAAACCAGGGCGGCAGCCGCTCGGAACAGCCCCGTCCGCGTCCCGCGCTCTTACGGGCAGCGGGGAGGCTCTGCCAGGCAGGAACGCCGGGAAAAGGGAACAGAGGGGGTGTTGGGGTGGGGGGGGGGCTGCTGTCGGGTTTGGGATGCGCTTCATCGCAACGCGGAGCGGGCAATGTTTTTTTTTTAAGCGAGAAAAAGCTAAAAAGCCCCCTCGGAGTGCAAGATGACGGCAGCAGCCTCCTCCTGAGCGGCCAGAAGACGTGGCCGCAGGCGTCACGTCAGCGGTGCCCTCCCGGCCACACGCAGGTGCCAGCTCCGAAGGGGCACAAACCCCCGGAGCGGCTGCGCGGGAGGAGGCAGCGGGTCGCGGGCCCCCGCTTTCCCCTTCCAGTTACCCCCAACTGGGACAACTCCGCGGCTCCGCCAGGCCAGCGCGGGCTCCAGAGCGGGTTCTCCGCGCCGAAGGACCAGGTCAGGCCCCGGGACACGGGGCTGAGAGTTTGAGCTTGAAGCCATTCCCAGCTGAAGGAAGAGACACGCGAGCGCCGGGGTCTGCCGAAGCTCGGGAATGTCGCCGCCGAGATCCGCGAATTCCTCAAGTTACTTTTTTTTAGTCCCTAAAAACTGGTCGTCCCAGAAGCCTGGAAGAAGAAGGGGAGG